TTTTTTGTTGAAACATCTACAATTGCGCTGACTTTCCACCTTACCGTTGAGCCATTCCTTTCCTTGGGAAATTGCGTTAACTGACAATCCAAGTTCGAAGTGTGTCCTGCTCAGCCGTCCCACTCGGGTGCTGAGTGTGATCCCCTTCACAGGGGCGCCGTTCTTGCATGGGAAAGCAACCACCCCAACGCACCACCGATCACTGGAACATCACAGGAAGGCACCGACACCCTCACAGAATCAACCGCCACACCGGCCGCCGGGCCAAAAAACGGTTCTTGACGAATCCTTCAGACTCCGAACTTCTGATCTCAGATTTCAGCATTCAGTTTTCTTTTCTTGTTTTCCAATTTTTCTAGCCTGAGCATACTTGACGGCTAAGTAATCACATGCCTGCACTGCTAAGTATTCACAGGCCGGATGAATTCATCATGCACACAACCCCCCCCCCCAGGCCTCTGTTGCTATCCCACCCGCTACTCGGGAAACAGAAGGAAATCGCACTCAACACACTTGTGTGTTGGTGCCTTTCCTTCTGTTTCTCCTAGCTATTGCTAGCTACCCGGGCGGTGTAAGACGAATGTCCCGCTCGCCTTCTACTTTCGTTTAACTAAGTGGGCCTCGTATTTACACCTACTTTTCTTTCTTGCCCTCTTAGTCTGCTCTTGTTTCGTTGCTTTTTCTGTCTTTCTAAGGCTTTTTAGGTGTCTACTAGTTCTTCGTTGCGCCAACAATTTGGCGCTTTTTGTACAAATGTTCCCCTGGGAGTCAGGACGCTACTGGAGGCCCCTGGCCTTACTACTACTTTGACCGCGCCGAAAAACGGCTCTGTGTGTGTGTATCCACCCCTGGGCGAAAGGTTTTCTTCCACTGGTTCAACGGTAGGGGGTGTTTTGGAAAAAGCGCCGAAGCCGGCGATCTGTGTGTGTCCACCCCTGGAAAAAGGGCTCCTTTCACCTTTTCCATCAAGCAGGGGGGCAATGCACGACTGACAGACATTGCCCAACGAAGACGCTGTCAGCTCGTGGTGAAGCAATGCGGGACGCCGCATTGTGTACCTGCCGAGTTTTTTCCACAAGCTGTCACCCTACTTTTCCACGATTTGATTCATGGTTCTTCATGCTTCCACCCCCAAACAGGTTTTCCCACCGCAGACCTGCAGACGCTTTGCCGCTGTGCGCTTTCCGCAGTCACGTATGAAAACTTTTGTTGAAACATCTACAATTGCGCTGACTTTCCACCTTACCGTTGAGCCATTCCTTTCCTTGGGAAATTGCGTTAACTGACAATCCAAGTTCGAAGTTCGAAGTGTGTGTCCACCCCTGGAAAAAGGGTTCTCAACCAACTTCAGCAGGGGGGCCCAACGAAGCTAGGATGTGACAGGGGAAGCACCAAAGGACGCTTTGGTGTGTACCTGCCGATTTATCCACAAGCTGTGACTCCACTTTCCACGTTTTTGGCTCATGGTTCTTCATGATACTTCTCCAAAAGCCGCGTTTGTCTTGCAGCTGAGCCGCGCCGACCGATCGTTCAGCAGACTTGACCAACAACTTGTTGAAACACCTACAAGTCTTTCGGACTCTCCACCATGCAGTTCTGTCACCTTCCTTCCCAGCGTGGTAACTGAGTTCACTGAATACAAGTGTCAGAGTGTGTTTCGCTCAGCCGTCCCACTCGGGTGCTGAGTGTGATCCCCGTCACAGGGGCGCTGTTTTTTGCATCGGAATTCAACCACCCCAACGTACCACTTTTCACTGGACCTTCACCGGAAGTCACGGCCACCCCCACAGAATCAACTGATGCATTGGCCGCCGGGCCCAAAAACGGCATTGCTTTGACAGCCGCCGGGCTTTAAAACGGTGCTCACCCCCCATGAGGCAGGTTCCCCAAACCCCCCCCCCCCGCTGTGTTCTACTCCC